ACCTTCACTGCCTGTTCAGCTGATTTCCGGGCATGGTCAACATGTTCAACCCTTCTCATGTCATTGTATAGCTTCATAGGAAAAGTGGCTACATCACCCACGGCATATACATTGGGAACACTTGATTTGAAACAAGCATCAGTCTGCAATCAGGACAAATTATGTAATACAATCTCATACAGATCTTAATAAGAACTTCCACGTCATGAATGCTATTCAGAATAAGATCCTGTCCACATTTAGGTACTAAAACGAGCATGGTACAAAAACAATTCTCATTACTGCAGATTTATGCGATATCAACAGAATACTTAAGGTGATCAATTCAATAATAAAGTGCAATAGGAACTTCAAGCTGACATTTATAGATGAAAAAGCATTTGAGATAATGTCACTCGTCAAACCAACCTTTATTCCACCCTTCTCCTCTTCAACCTGCCCTTTAAATAATGTTGTAAGAGGCCTCCCACCAACACCGACAACAACAATGTCAGCTTCCAGCACTCTGCCATCCTTAAGCTTAACTTCCTTCACCTGAACAGTGGGCAAAAGTATCACCATTAAAATGATTTCAGTCTCATAAAAAATGATTAAAAGGCCAAGCTCTTAGAAAGATGACTGCTTACCTCTCCATTTGAGTTAGAGGTGAATCCAACTGCAACTGTTCCTTTTATAATTTTGATCCCTTTATTAGCATAATAACCCTCATAGAAAGCAGCAATCGCAGAGGTGAAGAGCCGGGGCACTACAAGAACAATCTTCTTGTTAGAAAAACATGAACCACCAGAAATCAAATAGTTTATTGATTACGTTCCCAAATGCCATATTCCAACAGTATATTGAAAGGCCAAAAGTAGCTCTCTACTTACTGCACCATGGTTCAGGGTACACCATGCTGACATCAAAATTATTAATTTTCATTGCCGCACCAAGCTCGAGACCAATATAACCTCCTCCAACAATAACAGCCTTCCCATTCTTTTTTGCTTTGATAGCTTCTATCAACTCATCAGCATCATCAATTTCTCTTAAGTAGAAGATGTTTTTAGCGTCAGCTCCTTGCACTCCAAAATCTGTCAATTTTATAACCTGCAAGAATAGTGTGTTAAACTATGCATTGCAGGCAAGACAAAGGGATGTTTTATGTTAAGATCCCTCAAAACTGTAACTTACTGTGGAACCAGTTGCAATGATCAAAATTTGATACTTGAAGGTTTCTCCGGCTGCGCTTACTAGAGTGTTGGCAGGAAGATCTGCTTTCACTATTTCTGTGCTAAGGATCAATTCAATCCCTGCAAGCATCATAGCACGAAAAGTATATAAATGAGGCCATTTCCAAATTCTAAGTCACAGATGTTCAATAAACAATCACTATTAGCTTAAATTCCCTTTAGCAGATCAATTATGTATTATTCCACAACCCTCAAATTTTACATTACACAAATTCAGGAAGATATACGTTGCTAACCTTTTTCCTTGTACCACTCAGGAAGCAATCTCTCTCCACCACTTCCAACACACACATGGAAACCAGGAAGTCTTGCAGCTCCTGCAAAGAACAAATCACCAAATTGATCGAGGAAACCAACCAACCACATGGCCAACAGAATGGCATGGCAAAATTACTATTGAAATTATCGGAGTTTAGAGTTTATTTAAATGTTGCCAATAGAAATATAAAACGCATTTAGGCTTACCCTGAGGGAAGAGATATCCCTTACTCAGAGCAGGGCGTTCATATGGAGCCACCTACATGTATAAGAAAGCAAAAATCAGGTAACCTGCAATATAAATTTATCCCTTCATGGGATCAAAAAATGACAACGGTAACAGTTACAATGAGTCCTGTCATGTAAATGCTACTATTGCTGGTCTCTATTACATTCGAATTCAACAAAGAAAACATTAGATTATAAAAGGTGCATCTGGAGGGGGGGGCGGTCCCACGAAAACAGCAGAATGGGAAATATGCAAAACCAACCAGTGTACTGAGTAATGAAATTATGTGACAGAATCTTTTGCTTTTTCTAAGCTTAATTGACAATTACAATAAAAGAATTGTACTCGATGAGAATAGAATAACGTATCTAGTGATCTAAAATGTATATGCAAGCAAAATGGCTACATGCTGGTTGATGGAATGACAAATCTTTTTTGCATTCACTGATAAAAACAGAAGTTCCATTAAATACAGTAAGAAGCATACCGCTTCCTTGGAAATAATAGCCAGCTCACCAGGCTGCACCCCCTGCTTGGCAAACTCCCTTGCTGCATATCCCTGTACAGTCAGAAGAAGAACCTTTCAGCAGAAGAAAGTAAAGATTAAACAAATCAATCAAAAGTA